CGAGTCTTTTGAAATATTTCCATGCAGTTTTATGTATTGCATAATGATAACTACAATTATATTTTAAACTATATGTATATTAGCTCCAGGTCCGTCAGCAGAACATGTTTTTACCAAGTAGACACTGTTCCAAAACTGTCACGGTTATGTGGTCTGATTCGTCTGGCTCTGACATCATGAAGGGGTGGTGAGAATGGACAGGTACGGTTTCCTTTACCCAATCATTTTACCCAACGCGTTTCTGAAGCGAAATTGACAGTTGCTCAGGCTAATTGGAACGCGAGTGTTTCCTGTTACACTTTCCAACCAATAAGAATGGCAGTTGGGCGGACCTCCGAGTAGGAACGTTCTCCGGCACCTCATCTCATTCTGCCCAGTTCGATCGGCAACGGGAGCGGAAAGAGGAAAGCAGAGAGCCCGAAGGCAGTAGCCCCCACCACCGCCGGCCCAGGTTACCATCTAGCACCGGGAACTATAGCAAAGAGCCGCCGCCGGCTGAAGCCATTACCAACAAGTAACAATGAGCAGCGAGGCCGAGACACAGCAACAACCGCCGCAGCCTGCTGCCGATGCGGAGAGCCCATCCAGCCCGGCAGCCGCAGCTTCCGCGGGGGATAAGAAGGTCATCGGTAAGACTGCTGGAGCTAGTTAAGCTAACTAGATAGCTAACGTGTTTTATGGCACAGGGGCAATGCGCAAAAGTGGTGGCTGGTAAGGTTGTCAGCTCGATCCACAGCTCAGTATACTGTAAACTAAAAAACGTTCGTTAGACACGGCCGTTGAGCCGCACAACGTTAGCACATGTTAAATTACACTGTTGCATTAACATTAGAGAAATTTTTATTTTAGCCAACCCGACCCAGTATATTTTTTGGTTCCTTTGGCTAAAATTATTAAATTATTTCATGGGCTATTCTATTCAGTGTATTGGCTTTTACTAACGAGAAGCATTCTTAGAAAAGTTAAATTAATTTTCTTTTGGTGCCTAAAAAACGCTAAACGTTTACGTGCTGGTGATACAGAATTAAAGTATCGGTTGGAAGCTAGACAGCGCAAGCTTTTTATAGTTTTTATAGACCGCTGCTTATTCATTCTTTAATAGCTAACACTTTGGCCTTCATATTAAAATAATTTTAGAAGACATGTGAGTATTTTTTTTTTTTTTAATTAGGTATTTTAGACTTTTAATCCCTTCTGTTCATCGGCCTCCTCTCGTCTAACGTACGCCATAGAATGCTCTGGTACCGGTCGGCCGTCACGTAAACGAAGAGGTTTCTGCCCGTTATCAGATTCTGTGTGTATATGCCAACGTCAGTGCTCCTTTTAAGCAGGCAGGAAATGGGAAATGATGTGTTAAAGTGAACTTTAATGCCATATTTGTAGAACACCGAGATATCAAATGGCTTAACCGGTTACAAATTATATCGAAATCAAGCTAGCGTTAGCGACTTGCCATCCTTTGTTCGCACGAGTCTTGCTCCCCGGTGAAATATTAAGAAAAATAATCTAAAACAGTCGAAACTACATTCAAGCCTTTCACTGTTACAATTAGCAGCGATTTATATTTGGATTTGATCGGAAAAGCACCATAGCACAACTGTCAATGGTCGACTATTTTCGGTGGAATTGATGAGGTCTCATTGGGGCCTAGTGATCGACCGACGGTTGCTCGCTTGCTTGCGAAGCTATATTAGCCTAGCCAGCTAGCTTGAGCTATTTACATGGCTAAAGAGGCCATCCAAAATGTCCGCCGTGTATTCCGCTGATTTCTTTCGCCATTTCCTTGGTTGTTAATTGAAACCAGTATAACCGTGGCATTTTTTTTATTTTATTTTATTTTTTTAACGTCCTAAGCATTTGGTCACAATAGAAGCTGTCCGATGTGTTATGTTCATTTCCGCCTGCTGGCAGTAATCCAAGCACATGGTTCAGACCATCTCAGCTACATAGCTATGCTAACAAGCCAGCTGGGCTCGCTAACATATCCGGGCGCGACTCTACCACGTGTGAACGCTCAGTAGTGCGTCTAAAATGGGGCAGTAGGTCTGCTGTAGTTAAAGGTCAATGTGTTTAGCTACAGCGGCCTGCTATGATGATATTGAAATCTTTGATTTGGGTAGCATTACAGTAGACGGGGACATTAAAAATAGGGGCAATTCCAATAGTCTTGAAATTTACCCGAGAAGTAATCTAGTCGGTACTCGTTCGTGGTACTCGTTCATGGTTCTCATGATGGTGCTTACCTCACACCAAATGCAGCTGGCACAAGACACTTCTAAGCGCCAGGATCTATAATAAGAATGACAGTTGGGAGTTATATTTATCTTCCACATTAAATGTGTCACTTTCTCATGGTCTGTTCTTATTTTACACTTTATCATTGTTAGAAGTCTTGTTAAATACCAAGATGCATCTAAAATGATCAGTAATATATCATAATTTGTTTTCTTTACAGCAACAAAAGTCTTGGGTACAGTCAAATGGTTCAACGTCAGGAATGGATATGGGTTTATCAACAGGCAAGTTGACTCCACCCATCCCTTCTTTCTATAGACCCTGATAACAACAGTGTGTATGTGTGTGTGAAACAACATTCCCAATCCTATTATGGCTATGATTTGCTTACAAAGCTGCCCAGATGAATTATCTACACGTCTCCAAACTCTGGTTGCATGCATCTGTTATCTGTTAATCCTTACACTCATTCGCTGCTTTGTAGTCTGCAGAGGCATCACTGCTTTTTGTGACTCAGTAGGATACTTCTAATGGTGTTCCGCTTTTTTTTTTTTTTTTTTTTTGTAATTCACAGGAATGATACAAAAGAGGACGTTTTTGTACACCAGGTAAGCTTTGCAATGTTTTTTTTTCTTTTCACAATTTCAAACAAAATCAGATAATTATGATAATTAGAAACATTTCAAATGTGAACCATTATGATTTCAGACAGCCATCAAAAAGAACAACCCGAGAAAATATCTTCGCAGTGTTGGAGATGGAGAAACTGTGGAGTTTGATGTAGTCGAGGGAGAGAAGGTAAGCTGTTCTTTGGTTAGTAATTTGGTTTTGTTGTCTGGCAGCTTCTAAAAAAAACATCCCATGAATGTTCTCTAGTTTAAAAAGATAAATAAAAACATCTTACTGCGGACACAGGGAGCAGAGGCTGCAAATGTCACCGGCCCAGGAGGTGTTGCAGTCCAGGGAAGCAAGTATGCTGCTGACAGGAACCGCTATAGGCGGTACCCCCGAAGGAGGGGCCCTCCCCGTGGAGGAGACTATCCAGAGAACTACCAGAGTGATGGAGAGGGTGAGCAAGGCAGCGGAGGACGTGACAAAAGCAGAGAGGGTGGAGAGAATGCCCCTGAAGGAGACTCGCAGCAACAGCAGCGCAGACCCACGTACCCTGGCAGACGGCGCTACCCACCATACTTTGTACGTAGACGATACGGCCGCCGGCCCCCGTACACCAACGCACCACGCGGAGAGATGACTGAGGTATGCTGTCACAGGCTACT